GGACAGGTACAACATTGAAATGCAAAGGAAAACAAGATGAAATCAATAGGCAATTTCCAAATCATTCCACATTTCAAACCCTGCCGGTGACATTGACTATTGGCCTACAAGCAGTACATGATTCATCTCTCTTCATGGGGCTAAAACCTATATATGGATCATATGGAAGCACAGACAAGTTTCAAATTCCCGCTGACCCCAAAGTGGCCACACCAAAATTCATGATTCAAGAGCTAACCTTGACAAGTGATAAGGGATTTAAGTTACCAGAACTTGGAAGAAAGGTACAACTCACTTAGACAGCAAGCTTTTTTCTGAGACGAATCCTATTCACGACGTCGACTGGTAGAGCGTATGCTGGATCTATGGCTTTCAACGCTGGATATTCAAGAAGTGAAAGTCCTGCAATATTCATTGAAGTATAAGTTTTAATACGATATTATGAACATTAGCCAACAATAAAGGTTTGCAAGTTAGCAAATTTTTGGTACTCTGCAATAGGAACACAAGATGCAGGAGATTGGCTGCTTAAGAAAGTAAGATGTACCTGCTATTCCAAAGAATGTGTGATAGACATCAACAGCATCGTCTGGTCTATCTGAAATTCCACCATTTTCTGTATCCTGCAATTTTCCAGTTTCCAAGAACGATGTTATGGACTTATCGAGATTAGAAACAATACACGCCATGTTAGATGATGAATCAATTTGCCCGACGTAACCTGGCAGTCTAAGATGAACTTCACGAGCTTTTCCTTATTAATCCAGTGAACCCTGTCAATCATGATCAAGCTAGAAAGAACCCACCACGAGTAGCAAACCTGAAGCAACAAAACAAAATCTCTGAGTAGAAGTACAAAAGCAACTAATGGAAACAAACTTGGTAACAATGATCTTATCCCAAACCCACATCGGGAAGTTTTTCAGGGCGACCATTAAGACCTCCAGACTTGACTTGCCGCTCGCACAACCACCAACCAAGAAGATCCTTGTCAATATGGTGAAGAGACCCCGTAAGAGCAAGAGCACCGACACAACAGAAAACTGTAGTTACAGCGATGCAGACTTTAGGCATTTGTATTGGATTAAAGAACCATGTAAATAATTGCTAGTTGAGCTTATGGCAACAGTATTTCGTAAATCAGAAACTTATTCTCACTCGGAATACTTTAGTAGAAATTTATTCCGAATACTTCAGTTGCAATTTATTCACCGTTGTAAAGTTTACAGACCAAATGCAACATTGTGTTATCACCAACACTGATAGCATATTATGCGCCATCTCGCTTTGTAAATTGAACTTTTTTAGAAGCAAGTTTGGAGAACTTGAAACATGAAGGAAGAAATGGCTAACATACTTTGCCCAGAATGCGACTCTCCACCAGGTATGCATCCGAAACCACCATCCATATTTTTGCAACTAACGATGAAGTTCACAGCCTTCTCAACATTGATTTTATCCAATTGGTGTAACAACGATAGACATGAAATTGCAATATATGAAAATCTGAAAGAAGGAAAACAAAAAGGAAGCACATAAGTATTCTATGCAAGGTAACTTGTAACATCGTACCAAGCATTGATTACTTCAAGATGGTATAATAAAGAAATGAGAAGAGAGTGAGAGAATACCTTGAATCAACTTCACCCCAAATATCCCCTGAAAAGGAGCCATCTTCATTTTGAAGGCCAACAACATCTAGTGTATGGTTAATTGTAACAAGAGATATTGGCACTCATGGGAGGGTTAATAAGCCTTTACTCTGACACCTTACAGAACTCGTCATCTTTTGTGCTTAACCCTCTTACCCTCAATGGTCCATTCAAGCAGGCAGAAGGAGATTTGAATCACATTCTTCGTACCTGTCCCTTTGCAGCCAAGATTTATTGGATGTTTTGAAAGATTTAGTATTTCGATGCCTTTGTTTGGCTGCCATACTATGATGGGAGAAAGTGGCTTTATACTCTCCTTTCTAAGCCGGAGGGTGTAACACTTTGGGGATCTGAATAGGCCCTAAGTTGCTCGAAGCAAGGATCCTTTTGCTTACCGATAAAAGAATAATGCCTTTTAGGGTGGATCTTTATACCTGAGGATCTTTTTTAGTTCATCCAAATTTCACTTCTGCAGAGATAGCATAACATAGATTGACAACCAAACCCCACAACATATGAGAGAATAGGATGAGCCTTAGGCATATCTAGTGGGAAATACAGGGAATATTTTTAAGGGTTAGAAGGCACTTGGGAAGATGTTTGAGAAATGGAATATTTTAATGCCTCTTTTTCGGTCTATGTTATGAAGACTTTGTAATTTTCCTTTTTCCCTGTTCAAAAGATCGAAGCCATTTCTTGTTGTTTTTTGTCGACTACTTTTCCTGAGCTGGTCTCTGTTGTGTATGGCGTTTTATTCTGTCATTCGTCTAATTTTCATTGATTCTATAGGTTAAAATGCCAGAATTCCCCCTTCCCTTGCTTTGAATGTTCTGAGTAATAGATGGTTTAGTTAAGGAGAGCAATTTTCAATTGATGTGCGCCAATAGCTAAAAAAGAAGCTAGGTGTTGTGATTAAATGCTGTTAAGGCTATCATTTGGATGGGATTAAGATTTTTGTGATTAAACTCCTCTAATCAAGTCAAGTTAGGGTAGATCATTTGTTAACTCTTAAAGGAATGTTTTTACCTGTTTTTTATATCAACAAAAAATTGTTTTTTTTTCTTTCAAAAAAAAATTATAGGTCAAAAGATCTAAAAAAATAAGCTCTCCCCAACTATTTAATGAGTGATACTCATGAGGAATATAAAGTTGGGACTACTATTACCCCCAAAGTGGTTCAAATGCCCATCAAGGATTCATGTAAGCAACCAAAAACTAGACATTGAATTAAACGGGAAGAAGAACATTTTCAAAGGATACAATCTGTCACCTTATCAACATCTAAAACATCCAACGTGTCAAAAAGTGCTAAGACTTGCACAGCACTAAGAGTGTAAAGTATGTGCGGATCATGTCCAACATTGCCAGCAAAACCACCTGCACAACTTCTCTGCCTTCATTATCAATTACTCGATGCCCACATAACACTGAGTAATTACATTGATTCAGATAAGAATCCGGCAAACAATCCTCAGTCCAATGTTGTGAGAATGTAATTGAATAGCCATTTCGTTCAAGACAAACATTCAACAAAAAGTACAACTTAAGACGGTTTTTTTTTTTTTTTTTTTTTTTTTTTTTT